AAATTTACTGTACCAAGAATCACAATTAAAAAACTATGACTTAAAAATATTTATCCGCTGTCCGGAACAAGTTGGCATCTCTGTTGCTTTTCCTACATTTCCAAGTCCTATTTTGTAGTAGTAGTGAGTATAAACCCTGTAAAAAGAATTTACTGTACCAAGAATCACAATTAAAAAACTATGACTTAAAAATATTTATCCGCTGTCAGGAACAAGTTGGCATCTCTGTTGCTTTTCCTACATTTTCAAGTCCTATTTTGTAGTAGTAGTGAGCAAAAACCATATAAACAGTGAAAACCCTATAGTGAGTAAAATCCCTATAAATTGATCGATCGAGTGAGTAAAAACCCTGTGAGTGAGTAAAAACCCTATAGTGAGTAGAAACCCTATAAATCGATCGATCGAGGTTCAACTGTGCTAAGAAATTTTCAGCTTATTTATAACAAAATTATTAATTGTTATTAATTTCTTTCAAGAGCGTATGAACCTTGCCAAAAGTTCCGAGTTGGCAGCTATGATTGCTGCTCATATATTTTTAAACCGATGCAGCGTCTCGAACGGAGTATAATATAGTGCAAAAGCTCCTCGACTGAAAGTTTTTCACTACACGTAAGTTTGTCCAAAGGAGCTTTTTTGGATAAAGGAAATCTTTTAATTCTTTTAACACGTTCACGCCGGGGTGACCCACCGGTGGGTCACGCTAGATTGTCTCATCTTGGCAGCTCACCGGAGTAAAAACTGGTAACAATAAATTTCATTTTTTAGTTTTTTTCCGGGAATAATAAAAATCCATAACTACCAATTGTTTTTAACGGATGCAATTTTTATATTGAATTGCTTCTTCGCGTGATAAATTTCCTTACAGTGAATTGTTATTGTTGAGAATAGATTAACTCCTCTCTAATATTATCTGATATTGAAATAGTTTTTCTACCAGTATTTTCTCTTTTCCCGTACCAGTATTTTCACTTTTCCCGGTATGAACGTGTTAATAAAGGAGCGGTTCTCAATTTTTTTCGATCGTAGAATCCTAAATGATCGATATTCTTTTTCGATCTCGAGAATTAATGAATAAATTTTAGTAACAATTGAGGAACATATATTAATTATCAAAATACTACTAATTATTTTAAAATATGTATTAATCTAAATTTTATTAATTATTTTGAAAATTTTCATTAAATAAAAGCAGAATGAAATTTTTTACCTATGTCGTTTAATCAATATTAGTCTAAATTGGGTTTTATGTCAGGCAGTTGAATTCACAGGTCCGGAACGGCACCTACGCTAGTTCTCAATTTGATTTCAGTATACGCAAATTGTTTTATCAATATTAGTCAAAAAATTGAATTTTACGTCAAGCAGTTGAATGCATAGGTCCAAAATGGCATCTAGTTTTCTTAACTTGATTTTAGTATAGGCATTAGTATATAGATTGATAATCAAAGATTATATATGAACTTTTTCACTATCGAATTTGGTTATTTTTATTCGATGCGATATGACAATTAAATTTTTCTTATTCTTTTCGTAGCTCATTCATTATCTTGTTCTAATAAAAACATTGTTTTGAATTTTGTTTATTTACTAGCATTTTAAGTAAATAATTTTATAGAAATAACTGAAATATTAAAGAAATAATGGATAATTAATTGGATTTAAATTTAATACCAAGTTTTGAAATTCTTAACTGGTTACAAAGAAAGTCCTAACACTCGGAAACCCTTTCACGGAACCCTAAGGTTCCTTGGAACATCATTTGGGTTCTAAGGAACGATGTTCTGAGGAACGATGAAGATACCGATTTAAAGTAAACCGTTTAACACTTTAATCATGAAGCCAGGAATATTCGCTGTGCTCTATTGTTGTATTAGTGAATAAGGTTATTAATTGCAATTTATATTTATTTTTTGAAGTAAAATAAACAAGTTTTAAAGGAATTTGCGCTTTGTTTTAATTTTAGTGCTATGGGGTAATTTTAAGAGCAGAAGATGGAACAAAGTAGCTTCGTTGAAAGTGTTAAAAAACGGGCTCACCAATTTATAATAATGAGAGAAGCGCCTTTACTAGAAAATTGGTGACACATTTATTATGTAATTAAGTGGGTGCATTTTGGTTGGTTTAATTTGGCTTAAAAACCTATAAATTAAATCATTATTTAAATTACGGCCCTTTTCCCATCCATCTTGAAAATGATATTTTCTAGTTACTGGTAAGTAAATTGGAGCGAAAGGAAAAATATTTTGCAGGGTTGCCAACTACTACACTAACTGCAAAATATTTTATAAAGTGACAGATAATTTAAAAAAACAAAACTTACAGAATTTATGGTTAAGTTACAGTTATAATTATTTTCAACACATTTTAAAGTAAGATTCATAATTTTATATGTGAAAAAGTGATGATCTATGTGTATAAGCGACACCCCAAAAGAAACATAATATTAAATAACAATGAGAAAACTAGAAAATATAACATTATTTTGCACAACTTTTGGAAAGATTAAAAAGATCGCTATTTTCTCAGCATTATATAACGTTAGATTCTATAGGAAATAATATTATCTAGCGTTTGCCGTGATATTATTTTATTTCGGTTTTGATGCTACATAATATTAGATTTTCTATTTTCTATTATTGCACAAAGACTGTTATTATCTTCCGTCATTTTTTTCGGAATTAGCAAGAGGAAAACTTGGATGGTAGTAGAATAATTCAGTGATATAATTCTACTCAATTTCTGTATTGTTGTGAAGCAGTAGAACTTGGAACAGTAGTTTTGTTATATAACTCCTCAGATTATTTGCTTAGTTACACAGAAATACTAAATAACATTATATTACAGGACTCTGATATCATCACTTCCCACCCTTTTACTCCAAATTGAATCAATCAGTTCGAAAACGAGTTATCTTCATCAAAACTAATTTTACAGGAGAGACAAAAAACTGAATAGTTAAGTATTAGCTTGATAAACAGAGCTTTTTTTATTTTTAATATTAAAATATGGCTGTATACAAAATATTCTATTGAAATTAGGAGATAACATATCCTTTAGTTTTTTAATTGAAAAAAAATTGAACTTGGAGATGACCGGTTTTTGGACAAAATATTAAAATGAATACTATATATTACTTTCAACAACGAAAATATTAATAATTTGTCATTTAGATATGAAATAAAGTCGTTATTTAACTCTTAAACTACATATTCTTAGGTATTTGTGTGGATTCAGAAATCTTTAGAATTATAATTATCTGTGCTGGGTCATTTATAAATGTTTTCATGGAAACTCATTTGGTTTATATTCTAAAAACTTTTTTATGTATGCAATTTTCTCGTGGTTTATGATAACTTTTTCAAAATATGCTTCAGTAACTAATGGTTATGGTGCCTCTTTTAGGGCATTTTTTTTGTACTTAGTAAATATTAATTTACATAAACCATCAATGAACTGAAATAGTTCAAATTCACTAAATGTAGTGCTTTTATAAGTAAAATTGCTATAATGTGACATATGAAACTATGTTGTTTCTACTTTCTTACTTTTCCATAGGAGCATTTTGAGAACACATTTTTTTTTATAATGCTCCAGCCACCAGTTCTTATAATAATATTTGTAGTCACTTTCATTACAGTCACACTTACTTTTTCCCATTTATTTTCTTACATATAACAGCAAACCATTTGTAATAAAATTTTCTGAATTTGTTATTACTAAGTTTTCAGAAAAAAAAAAAAGGTAAAGTAAAATTTCTATTAAGATTTTTAATTGACAGCACTTGGTTTTTTCCCTTCTTTTTTCTGCTTTCTTCTCTTGAATATCAATTCGCTTTAAACGTTTTATGTAGTTCAAACTGAGTGCTATAAGAAATAAAAATTTATTGAATAGCTCGAATTATATAGATTAACTAAAAAATCTGTGGCAAAAAGATACTTTCTGTGAATAAAAGCATTTTTTTTTTTGTACAATTTGGATTTACGACTCGAACATTTGAAAAATATAGTTCGATTATTTCAATCAAGAAAGTGGACAAAAGTTTGAGTCCCTTAAGAGCATTCTTAATTTTTGTGATTTTCATCATATCACTGGAATCAATTTCACTAATTGAAAACCTACGTCAAGCAGTTTAAAAACTTGTCCAATAAAAATTAATTTAAATAAAAAAATTAATTTTCAGTATTTACCTATATATCAGGGCTTGGAGAAGCCCTGGTATATAGGTAAATACTGGCAATAATGATAATAGGTAAATACTGATTTACTCGCTTCGCTATATAAAGCTAACTTCAAAATTTCTTTCAAATTATTTCACAATTTAACCTCGCTTCGCTCACTCCTTCGATATTTATGTGTTTCAGTATAATTTTGTTGCACTGAAACACTTAAATATCGAAGTATGCTGATTCTCACTTTAAAATAAAGTTATAAAAAAAATTCAACATATACAAATATCACACCTTCGATTTATAAAACTTTCATTCGTTTTACATTAATTACGATTTTGTGTACAAAAAATTACAAATTATTTTCCTTATTACATAAACTCATAACATATTATTCTAACATTCAAACGCGAATTCGCAAAATAAATAAAAAGAAATGGAAAGGGGAAAAAAGCTCACCAATTCGATCTTCATTGATCAAGCGCATCTCTTTCTCTCCTGCATTAATTATGAAGAGCTATTGTGTGCCTCTGTCGATAGCAGTTACTGAAGTACGACTTTTTTAAGTAAACTTTGGTCTCAAGAGATTTTGAATGATTCTTCCTCTTATCACAAAAACTACGCTAATCGGCAACTGGATGTCAAAAAGACTGGTCAAGCAACTTGAATCATTCTGTTTTGTTGGAACCAACATGAGACCTTGCATTGCGAGACTGGGATTGTGTTTATTCTTTAATGCCTACTCTTTAAAATAGTTCATGTTTTCAACACTAGGTGCCGACTTTGAAATACTGGTATGATTTTCCTAGCTCTTAACTTTCAGCGATCATAATTACAATTATAATTGTTTTGGCAACGGTTAGAACGCACTTGTTTTCGATTTGTTCCCTTCAGATGTGACCTTCATTTAAAATTTTGGTATCGTTATCTTTCCTAAGTCTATTATTTTATTTTATTTTCAGTGTTATATTTTTTATGCAATCAAACTAATACTGTAATATATTGTAAAGATAATTGTAATTATTTTTTTCAGCCCTACTGATTTGCATAAGTGAAAATTAGGAGTTTAGCAGACGATTTTTACTATGGCTAAACCTTTAAAAATCGTAAAATGTTCTACTACTCCTTTTGAAGGACAAAAGCCTGGAACAAGTGGTCTCCGTAAAAAAGTTAAAGTATTCAAGCAAGAAAATTACACTGAAAATTTTGTACAATGTACTCTTTCTGCGATGGGAAATAAACTTAAAGGCTCACTTTTAGCAGTTGGAGGAGATGGAAGATTTTATGTGAAAGATGCTGTACAGAAAATTATTAAGATATGTGCAGCTAACAAAGTAATCAAAATTTGATTATTTAATTGTTTGTCAAGTTAAGATAATTTTTTATTGTATTAATAATTTTTATTTATTTATTTTTTTTACATTTGCATACTTATTTTAAGTGTTAGTCTTGACTTCCAAAAACATATATTGGGTAACTTAGAAATGTTAGTGTAATCAAGCGCAATTTGCGCTTTGTATTTTACATATTTTTCGGAGCATTGCTGTAAAAATTTGTATTGAAACTATTATTGAAGTATAATTTACTTAGATTAGTATTTAAAAATTAAAGAAAACTATTTTAATGACATCTACTAGCCAAAAAGATTATTTTTCCTCCATGTGAACCCATAAAATAACTACATGTTTGCAATTGCCATATTTATCCAGTAAGAAATTCAAATTTTGGAAATATTTATGCATAATTTAATGTATCAAAATATTTTCTGAATTATAATAACCTTGAAAAAACTTAAAAGTATTAATAACTACAAAAAAAACTGTAAAATTTGGGCAATTTAGATCAATATAATAAAATCCAGTGGTTAATATGTTATGAAAATTATTTTAAAATGTCAATTTGTTTCTTAATAAATAGGGGAATTACATACATAAATATTAAGAATATCTTATCTGTAAATTGATGTGGAAGCGTATTACTCATGAATTAACCTAGAAGGAGTAGAATCTCGTTCTGTCAGAAGAAGAGGTGTAAAAGATAATTTTCATAAAACTTTGTTTTGTAGTAAATAAAGTATCCATTTTGTATTTTATTATTGTTTCCACTATACAATAAAGTAAAGTTGACCTAAAACAGCCAGTTGTTAGCCATGAGAATCATAAAAAGTGGTGTTCTATAATAACAAGACCCATCACATAAAGGCAAGGTGCTCAGCATTGCATATCAACCACTTTTAATTTTGAGGAAACTGGTTCTATCAAGCTTAATCTTTTAGCTAAATTTAGATACAAAACCCCAATTCTTTAATATGACTGCTTATAAAATAAAAATTACTTTCATCTGAAAAATATATTTAAAAAAATTTGCAACATTTATAAAATTTAGTAAGTTGCCTACTGATATCTTTTAAATTTCTTTTTTAAAAAATATCTAATAACGGATTATAAAAAAATGAATTTGTGTATTTAAATTTTCATCAAGTTAAATAATGAAATAAGACTAAGAGAGGAGTCTAATTTAATAATAAGTAAATGTTTCATTAACTTTCTACTAGAAGCTTGTATATTGATATTATGATTAAGTTTTATTGGATTCATAGCTTTATTGATAAATTAAAGTGTGCTTTACATAAATATATTTTTGTTTACATTGTGTATATAAAAAGAAAAAAAATTTAAAAAGCCAAGGTTGAGGGAGGAGACCCTCTATATAGTATTTATATCAGTACTATACCTCACAATTTGTATACCAGTAAAATATTTCTTCAATACACATGGTAATATTAGATACCTATAACTACAATACCTGTATTACTTATTACCATAATTGGTGTGCTTATTACCATAATTCATGCATCACCAGCTCCCTCAAGTAGTTAAATACCTAAATTTGACTCGAGTTATTTATACTCATTTTTCAGATGATCTGAAGACTTAGTGTTCCTCTATATTTTTTACAGCAATATACATGTTATTAAATTTTATAATTATTCTCTTCCTTTGTATTTAATCTTTTATTTTTATAAAAAAAAAAACCACTTATCTTAATAATAGTTTGTTTTTTTTTAATAATTTTTACTGTAAATTTTTTTTTAGGTCAAAAAACTAATTGTTGCCCAGAATGGTATTATGTCTACTCCTGCTGTATCCTGTGTAATAAGAAAAAAAGGTTGTGATGGAGGAATCATTTTAACTGCTAGCCATAATCCTGGTGGAGAAAATGAAGATTTTGGCATTAAGTTCAATATTTCTAACGGAGGTAACTAATATAATTTATTTCTTATTTTTCTTGTTTAAAATTTCTTGTTTTCTTGTTCCAACTAGAATTTTTAATCTTTGTTTTATTGAAAAATTATTTTTATTAACTTTCATCTTAAATTATTTGGGCTTAAATTTAAATGCCTGTTTAACAGTGCAAAATATATTTTTGAAAATAGTTATAACCAGGATATCAGCAGTATAGATCAAGGTATAAATCATTTTTTTAAAAATCAATTTGATTCATTAGATTTATCATGTTTTTTAAAATATTTGGAGGACTGAGAATAAGAATTATTTATCTCAAGTAATAAAATAAACGAGATCTCTTAAAAGGATTTTATAAATACTGATTAGGGCCTACAATTAAATTGAAAACTGCGTACTTTTCTAAAAAATAGTGCCAATATGTGTTATACAAATATGCAAATTAAATGCCTTTTATGCCTAACATACATTTGTATAAAATAACTATTTTTTTCCCTTTTCAGAATATATGAAATTGTTATATTTTCGAGTTCAAAACTTATTGATGGTATATCACTACTTTGTAATATATCCATTTTGTCTTTGTGTGAGACTTATATAACATTTAACAAAATTGGTTCAGAAGGAATTAAAAAATATTATAAATCGACTTCGTCCATCCTTTTACAAGTGAGACAGTTATTAATTGCATACTAAGCTTTCACTTAATTATTTATAATTTTTCCTTCCTAGAAAAATCTAATAACCCTCAATGCTTGATACCTATGATAAACACAAGAAAAAAAATTTGTTCTAGTCTAGTTTGACTTACTTTTGTCTTCATAAATCAACTGTTGTGATAATTATTTATATTTTTTGCAATGGAGATTTACAAGTTTTAGGAATGTATCTTCTCACTGATTTTTAACATAGTTGATGTGCTATAGTGTGTAAGTGAAATCACTGTTAGTACAGTAAAATGTTTTGCGTTTTAGGGAATTTTGTGATATGTGGGTCCTTTCACTTATCTTTAAACTTACCCACTAAATATGGCAATATTTGTCTGGAACAGATCAATCTTAAATGCTATTTAGAAACAAATATTTAAAAACATAAATTATGCACTTATTATTTGCAGAAAAAAAGTTGAGATTTTCTACAATATTAGAATAGAAACAAACAAATTAATCAATTATGGTTTGCTTAGCTTTCAGGCCTTAAAGTGAGATGGAAAAAAGAAAAAAACTGTTAGTAGAATTCTTTCAATTACTGATAATTATTGGAAGGAGTAAATCTATTCTTAAGAATAAACAATTCATTGCTCTTAATTTTTTATCAGCGAAGAAATAATTCAACATATAAATTGTATTCGTTAAAAAAAATTGGTAGTTATGGATTTGATAAAAATTGCTAGTTTCCCGAAAAAAAGCTAAAAATGAAATTTATTTGTTACCAGTTTTTGCTCTTTTCCGTCTTGATATGTATGGACTTTCAGCCCTGTTAGCTTTTGAAATTTTAACCTCTAAGTAAATAATTAAACAAATAAAATAATAAGTTTTATAGTTCTTGCTAAGTTATAGAAATTTCTTAACTGCAAACATTGTTTACACCCATAAAGCTAATGTAGTTTATGGAGAATTGCAGCTTATAGAATTGCGTCATATAGATATCTTCTACTGTAATGTATTTAATGTCTTAAAACTTATCTCAAAGTGTCCTCTCTCAATTTCCCTTTTTGTTTTCTACTAAAATATTTTTAAATTTAATATTTTTCTTATAGGTCCAGCTCCAGATGGTGCTACAAATATGATTTATGAACTCACTAAGTCTATTAAAGAGTACTCCATCTGTCCAGATTTAGAGTGTGACATATCTAAAATAGGTGTTAATGATTACATTGTTGAAGGTGACCCATTTTGTGTCGAAGTCGTTGATTCAGTAGAAGACTATTTAGAACTCATGAAAGAAATATTTGATTTTAATGCAATAAGACAGCATATTTCTGGAGGCTTCAAAATTCTCATTAACTGTATGCATGGAGGTATGATGTCTTTATTTCTTATTTTATTTCCTTTTTAAAAAGGTTTCGTAATTTTCTTTTATTTCAAAAATCTTTTTTTTTTTTAAATCTGATTTACTTGAGTTAAATCAGATTTTTGACTTCTGATATTTTCAATTTTTTTAACGATACTTTAAGAACTTCAGTTTATTATTAGATTTCATAAATATAGTTATGACTGAAATATTATTAAACATAAATAATAAAAATTCATTTTAATCTTCATTACATTGAACATTGTTTAATACATATAAATAAAGGATTAAAATTGATTAAAAATGTAATAAAAAGGTATCATTGTTACCTATTGAAAAACAGGCTAGAATGAAACAAATCTCAAAATTAATTTCACAGCTCTTTTGCTTACTAATAAACTAAAAATTCTACAATGCATTCTGAAAAATGCTCAAAAATTGTATTTTCAAAATGTTATTTCAATAGTGATGTAATTAATTTCATGCAAAGTATTTATGTAATTTTGCTAATTGAAACTTAATAATGCATATTTCATTGAATATAAATTTTAAAACTGAAAATTAATTAAAAATTCTGACTATCTTGTATTAAAATACTTTTTAACCTTTGGACCATGTTCCTCCTGAATGAATGACCCAGAATTAAATTCATTTACGTGCTGCTAAATTTTTTTTAATTCTGAGTTTTTATTTATTTAAGTATCACTAAATTATTAGAAATATAACACTTTTGAGTGTTAGACGTTAGTTATTTCTTGCTTAACTATTTTAAGTTTTTTATCATTCTTTTTGCAAAAAAAAATTTATGAAAAAAAACAAGAAATTTACTTCTCCAATAATTAGTATATAAATTATTCAGCTCGATGTGATTGTTTTATTGGGCAGAAAGCAGATTTTGTAGTTTTTGCAGGAAACCTTTATTGAACATTGTAAACAAGTTGAAATCATTTTAATAAGGAACAAAAAAGAAAAAAAAAATACACTGAACTCAGCCACCAGAAATGAAATTATTTCGTCTCTTGGGGGAAAATGCCAGAAATAAATTTTAATTATTCTCAAAAAGCAAATAAGAATTGAAAACTCAGCTACTAATAAAGGGATGTAAAGGTGTCTGGTTTTCCAGAAACTTATAAAATCAGAACTTATAAAATGCATGTGCATGTCATAAAATGATCAAATTACCAATGATCAGATGATCAAACTACCTTGTTTTTAAGAACTAATTTTTAGTTTGTATTGGGATCATAACATATTTTTCAAACCATATAATGATATTGTCAATTAAAGGATCTAGGAGATATACATATCAATTGATAATTTTATTAAATACAAGAAGTGCATTTCATATTTCATTGTTTGTTTGTGTTTAAACTGTAACTATTTGTAATGAGTAATATCGTACAAGCTAAAATTTGAATTGTAGTCACTGGTCCCTATGCTAAAAGAATTTTCATCAATGAATTGGGAGCCCAAGAAAGTAGTGTTGTGAATGGAGTTCCTTTAGAAGATTTTGGTGGTCATCATCCTGATCCTAATCTCACATATGCTGCAGATCTTGTGAAAGCTATGGAACAAGGGGACTTTGATTTAGGAGCTGCTTTTGANAAATAATAATGAAGATAAACAAATTTGTGAAAGGTTCGATTAAAAGAAAAATCATTTTGTGAAGGGTCTGTTTTTAAGCTAAAATATTTTGTGAAGGATCCGTTTTGATGAAAAGATATTTTGTGAAGGGTCCGTTAACGGACCCAAATTTCTTCTAAACAGACCCCTGGTTAAACAAACAATTAAGAGTTTTAAAATTATTTTTTTACATAAATGTTTGATAGAAATTTCCAATTAGGATTTGATCAATCCTTTAATTGTTAAATTTTTTTTTCACATAACAAACCTGCTATTCAATGAAAAAACTACAAGATCATTTTTTTTTAAACTTGTCTTTTTCAAAGTAAATTTTGTGTGTAGCAGATTAGAAAGTTTTTGCTATTTTTCTAATTAAACCCCTATTATAAAAGTTACAAAAATGTCATTAGTTTTTGGACTAATAACATAAAATAGTTTAGTTATAAAAATTAGAATTTGAACATTTAAATGTTAAAAAATTTTGTTTTCACATTTAAATGATGTTCTATTTATTGTTTTTTATTGAGTTCGATCCTTTTCCATTAATTATAAAGTATGTTATTTAATTTGGATTATGCCTAACTTTTTAAATTGTTCTAATCTGTTATAATGCATTTTACTGAGTATATATATTTATCATATTTAAGTTAAGCATAAATAATAAAAGTTCTTCGTGTTCTAATTAGTTTTTAAACTATTTAAAATTTTGGAAAATATTTTTACTATTTTTTTTATACTAGTTAGACTTTAATTTTTTGTAATATTTCGTTTTTCTAAACATCCAAATATCTAATTTTGTATAATATGATTATGGACGCCAATATTTGATTATAATTAAAGACGTATAACATTTACTTTTTTAATAATATGTGTTAACATTATGATGTTTTTTTGTAACTGATACTGAACTAATTGATTCATAAATTTTAGGCTAGACTTTTGAAACATTAAAATTGAATCCTGATGCCTGAAAATCTATCAAAAGTTATTCAGGGTGTTCACTTTTTTTAAGTACATTGGATTTAAAATTGCGTTTACTCTCAACAAAATTCATATAGACAAAATTAGTACATTTATTATTTAACCAATATCTGTTACCAGGTAATATATTCCTTACGCCTTTGTATATTCCTGTTGAATGTAGAATTGGACTAATGCAAAAAATAAGGTAAATGAAGCATAAATGAAAGTACAGAAATGGACAAATAGTTTTGGTTCTATAAACAAGAACCTTCATCAGTGTCTAAACACCACAGAGGTATTTAGACACTGAGGAACGTTTTTATTAACAAAACCGAATCATAGTATGTCCATTTTTGTCTCTATATTTATTCTTTATACAAGATTTTTTTTTTTTTTTTTTTTTTTTTTTTTTTGCTTTAGTCTATCTTGCTCAAAATCTATAGAATTTGATTCAATAGAAAATTTGATTCAATTCTTGGATATTGATGATGAAAACTCAAATTACATAAGACTTTTAAAAAAAATTAGACCACATGCATTTGCATACTAAGTTTTATGAGTTATAATCAAAAGTATTACTTTAGTATTAATTTATTATAATAGTACTTTATTGCGAAACAATTTGTTTTGTTTATTAAATTTTAATAATGAGATTTTATTTTTCAGGATCGTAACATGATTTTGGGTAAAAAAGCATTCTTCGTTTGCCCCTCAGACTCTCTAGCAGTTTTAGCTAATAATTTAGAATGCATTCCATATTTTAAAAAAACTGGTGTGAAAGGCTATGCAAGGAGCATGCCTACTGCTGGAGCTGTTGATAGGTAACCAAATTTTAATTTAATTACTTTCTATTTTAATTCATTTAATATTTTTGTATTAAGATGCCTTTTGTTATGATGTTTTATATTTTAACTGAAATAGAACACTGTAGAAATATGTTATTTTATTATTAAAAAGACAATGAATTACTTAAAATGTGCTTAAAAGTTTTTTTCATTTTTTCTGGCAATCAAAAACTAAAGAATATTCATATTAAGGTTTGTTAACTTCTTTTGAAATAATTTTAGATATATTTTTAAAAAACAGTAGTACTTTTTTTACTATTACTTTTATAGGTCAACAAATTATTAATTCCCTTGTGAATAGAACTTTTGTTTTTTATTTGATTATTTTTTACAAAATTATCATGGGATATAAAGTTTTCAAATTATGTAACATTACTGATCAAGGGCACATATGCTACGAAAATACATTGAATGATTTTTAATATTGAAATTTGTTAGTTGCTGTTGAAATAACTTTGAGCATATTAAAAAGAAATTTTTTTTATTACTTGTGCAGATATAGGTCAGGGTATTTATTCCCTTCCGAATAGAATTTTGTGTTTTATCCCCGATTAGTTTTTTTCTACAGAATTATCATTTTCAACAAGCTTAAAATTTTCAAATTATGTACTATTCCAGATCAGATTATATTCTACAAAAATAGATTTAGCACTTTTACACATTAAAACATCTGGATACTTTTGAAATAATTTTAAACATTAAAAAAGTGGCCTTTTTTATTTATACTACTAATGGCTACAGAATATTTATTTCCTCGTTTACTGCCAAATTATCATTTGCAATAAAGCTGGATGTTTTCACATTAATTTATGTATCTTATCAGGAGCACATAAACTACAAATAAGGATAGAACAGTTTTAAATTCATATTAAGCTAATTCTACACTTGTTTGTATAAAACAAGGTTAATTGACTTTGGTAAGTAGGGTATTTTTAGTCAATTGGGTTAATTGACAGTAGTTAAAATCAGTTAGTTAAAATTTGCAGTTTGAATCACAATTTTAATGGTTTGATTAAAAAAAATTTGATTTAAATCATTAAAGTAAAATCACTGTTTAAAATATTTCGTCATGTTTTTAAAGAGAATTTTAGTAGTAAGAATAAAGAAATGGACGCAATAAAATAAAGTAATAAAAAAATTTCTTGTTTTCTAAAAACTTTTCTTGTGTACTAATACACAGACAAAATCTTATAATTTTTATGTAATTAAGATAGGTTTTTTTTCTATATTTTTGTATTTGCAGTTAAATTATTAAATTGAGAGTTTTTTTTATGTATAGAAAAATATATTTCAAATTTTGTAATGAGTAAAAATTAGCAATTCTATGAATTTATTAGATTATATTTCAACATAGTGCTCATTCATTAATATAATATTTCCCTTGTGTGAAATTTATTCCATTTTAACTAAATCACTTAAATCATAAAAACAATAAATTATTTTTTCCTTCCTTTTTGCAACAAGTAAGTCATTATTAATTGTATAATTAAATAACTATATGGGTTCGACTGAAAATGTGTAAAACGTATATGCTAAAATAACCTGTCAAAGAAATTACTTTGAACCTCCATTACTTATTACCCATTCAAAATAAACTATTTTAATGTAGGAAGAATTATGATTCCTCCTCACCTTGCTTGCAACCTTATTTCTAGTTTAAATATTTTTTATCATTTATCAAACAAAATATATTAAGAATGAAAATTTATAGAAAGTTAAAAAAAATATTACATTTATTGAAGAACAAATTTAAATTTTTGATTTGTTGTTTAAGTCCTTATTTGAAGCAGCTTTTGATTAATTGTTTTTATGTACTAGTGTTGAGGATTTCATATAATATAAATATTTAATTTTTGTCATTCCTTCCTTTAAACAGTAATGATATATATATATTTTTTAGGGTTGCTGAAGTTACCGGCAAAAAGAGTTATGAAACACCAACTGGCTGGAAATATTTTGGCAATTTAATGGATGCTGGATTGCTTTCACTTTGTGGGGAAGAAAGTTTTGGCACTGGATCTGATCATATTAGGTAAATTCTATTATCTATGATTCTAAGAACCAAATATCTGTTTAACCAACATAAGACTAAAATAGAAATATTTTTAAAACTTAACAGAGTTAATAATAATGTTGTTTAAAAACAATATGCAATTTTTAATTGCAACTTTTAATCGAGCTAACTTCCAGCGTTTTTTTCCCCTTTCTTTTTTACAAGCTGACTTAAGAATCATATTTTGTATAAACTTTTCTTTGATTATAATAATACAGTGTCATAATTCAGCTATACATTATACCTACAAAATAAAATGCACTCATTGTACTACATCGTTCGATAGAATAAATTGTTTTATGTGTGTAGCAAATAAACGGTTTTTTAGTAGGTGAAATTGGTTGCATAGGTTTTGTCAGATAAATTTTGTACATTTTAATTTTTATTGAGTTTGATCGTAATGGATTTCTTTGTTTAAAAAAAATTGTATTATCAGTGCAAAAGGAAATTTTTTTTAAATATTTAGGGGAATGGAATCAGAAAGCCTATTAATAAATCAATATCAAAAAATAGAGAAATCAACTAATGGTTTGAAGTTAAATTTTGCTTTGTATAAATGGTTTATGGAAAAAAAATTAAAGCAGCAAAGACATACACATACCTCTACATGGTGCAGTAGTGCAAATTGGTATTTAAATCTTTTTATACCTGCTTGTTCAAAAGATATTTATTAAATGATCATGTTAAAATTATATAGCCCTTTTTTTAAAAAACTTGATTTACAGTGTGTGTAGTAAAAAAGTATATCGCCTCTATAATATTAATTCTTTGCATATTTCCATTTTCTGAAATACGTTTCCGTCAAGGTTAACCTTTTTATTTTATTTTCAATCTAACTTTCTATTTTTATTGATGTTTATGTTCACATTTAATTTTACATTATATCAAAATTACTACATATAGAGAGAAAGATGGAATTTGGGCTGTTTTAGCATGGCTTTCTGTTATTGCTAACACAAATCTGAGCGTTGAAGATCTTCTGACACAGCATTGGGTTAAATTTGGAAGAAATTTTTTCACTAGGTAAAAATTATTATTTTTTTACATTTTTATGTTTAAAATTGTGTGAACTATTTGTGTAAAATTATATTTAAATAACTTATAATTTAACATTATAATTACAAATATCATTACTGCATGTAAAAGTTTTAGTTTCGGTATTGTATTGTTTTAGATTAGTAAAATAAAACTTAAATGTGCAAATATAATTTTTAAAAATTTCATACATTTATCAAATTTTCTTTTCATTTAGTACAATAGTTTTATGAAATTACTTTTCATTTTTATTAAGAACTATTTAAAAAAAAATTTTTTTATAAAGAATAATTTGCCTTTGACAGGAATATTTTAATAAGTTACTTGCCAAATATTAAAAATGTAGTAATAATTAAACCTCCTTTCCTTTCAAACTTATAACTTCACGAAAATAATTTTGTACAAACTATTGATTTATATTTTATTAGAAATTACGTTTTATTTATTAAAAATTATAAAAAAACATTTGATTTATTAAAAATTAGATTTTACTTTTCTTAGATTTAATGACATCATTCCAATTATCAATATTCATACAATCACTTTTCTGATTTTCTTTAGATATTCCACATTTTTGGTTTTATTTTTATTTAATACATTTCTATGTTTCTGTTTATAAAGCTTTGCAAGTGCAGTTTAAATAATTTTTTATTGATATTAAGACAAATGCTAATGTCTTTACTAGCTAAAAAATTCAGGGATGTGATTCTTCCGCGGATTTCCGCTTTTTTTCAGATTTTTCCATTTCTCCCGCTAATTTCCACAGAAATTTTTTTTGCACAAGTTAAAATATTTTGAGGAATTTAATTTTCCGCGGAGCGAAAACATTGAAGTTCTCATTCTTCCCTCTGAAGTTTCCCTAAAAATCATTTTCTTGGGATAAAACTGGTTGACCTTTATAATCAAGGATGAGATTTTTCCGCTATTTAGAGGATTTTCGCTTTTGTCTCTCGAATTTCAGCCTTTTTATCAAAAACTCTAATTCTCTAGAAGTTTCGTTTTTTTTAAAAAAAAAAAAATTTTTATTATAAATATCCCGCTTTTTTTTATGAAAATTCAGTCATTGAGATAAAACAATTATATTTATTTACGATTTTCAAAGATAAACAGAAAATTCAAACTATGTCCTAGCTGCTAACCCTTCCACCTTTTACTTATTTTAGCTATTTTCCTCGATTTTACGCTCAGAAAATAAGATTTTCCGTATTTTTATTCTTCGCCTGATAGCTCGTATTTTCGTAATTCAGACGTTGCTGCTTCCTGTTTTTTGGCGTGAAAACAAACTGAAAAAAAAAAAATTAGGTGGATTTGCGGTGAAAATATTTATTTGCCCATTCAATTAATCTTGTAAATTTTTATTTATTATGTCTAAACAAAAACAATACAAACAAGCCTTTTAGAAATCCCTAGTCCAGAATCTGCAAAAAATCTCGATTCTTATTCATGCGATTTTAATATCAATAATCTATTTTCGTATTTACTTGATTTAAAAGTTGCGCATTGTGATTCTTATTTATGCTATTTAAATATCGTAAATTATGATTCTTATTTACGAGATTTAAAAATCCAATATCGCGTTTTGTATTTAAGCATTTTTAAAATCGCGATTTTATTATCATCAAACATCTATTTTCGTATTTATCTGATTTAAAAGTTGAACATTGCCATCATTGCGATTCTTATTCAGTCGATTTAAATATCGTACATCGCGATTCTTATTTACGAGATTTAAAAATGCAATATCCCGGTTTGTATTTACGTGCTTTTAAAAGCTTATGTCGCGATTCGTATTCACGCGAGCTTAAAATCCAATGTCGTGATTCGTTTATGCGGTTGTAATATCAAACATCGATTTTCGTATTGATGCGTGCTTTAAAAATTAGACATTTGGATTCATATTAGCGCAATTTCAAAATTATGCATCGTGATTTTGTATTTACGTGATCTAAAAATTACGCATCATGATTTATTCTCTCAATTTAAAATCATGCATGTGATGCATATTCATACAATTTTAAAATTAACCATCGTGATTTATAACCACATGATTTACAAGTTTAAAAATCGCACTTTTTTGTCAAATTTTTGGATTTTGAATATATATATATATATATATTTTCTTGGACTTCCTCTTTTTCACTACTCTCATCCCTGAAAATTATTTGCAGAACTGAATTTTTATTCATATTTTAAATCAGCAGAATACTAAAAAAATAAAGGACAGTTAAAAAAAACGTGCATATTGCTTAATTTTTTCCTGAAATTTCTAATATTAAACAAGATTTTCCATAATATTTTTACTTAAAATCTTAGTGAAAATTAAAAAAAAATTTCTATGTTAGGTATTGCCATTTAATGTTTCGAAAATAATATTATTAAAATATAATAAAACATATTATGTTATTATAAGTTGCAAAAGTAGAATTAAAATAATAAAAAAATAGTTTCTTCATCAGTTAAAATTTGAAAAATATTGTAATTAGAGTGCTCACCAAGAAATGTTCTGATTTCCTGCTGCATCAGTACAAGCCTTTAAAATGTCAAGCACTCCACATTGTGATATGAAACAATACTTGTCTAAATACATAATAACATCACCTACCCCTTTAAAATAGTGTTGAAATGAAGTTCTGGCAGATTTACAGTGTGCAAAATAAAAAACGGACCACATTGAATAACTTTTGATCTAATGATAGGATCTTCATGTTCTAAGAATCAAACTTTATGGTTTAAGGGAGGTGCCTTCAAATATGCTAATAAAATAATGCAGACGATATTTTAAGTTATGAAATTCGACATATAACGTACTTTCTCTGAATAAACTTTTTTTTGACACCCAAATTATAGGGGGTAGCCGCAACTTGAGAAATATAGTTCCAATAGTTTGGACCCCTTAATGTTAATTTTACTTTTTGCATATCTCACCATATCTTGAGAACTTTTTAAGCGAATTGAAAAATTTTCACACTAAATTATAAAATCCGTTTTTCCAAAAATAATTCCATGCCAAATATAACTTTTAGTAAATATTTATTATTATTTTATTTAATAATGGTTGGAAATTTTTGAATTATAAAGTATACAAATTTTTATATCATTTTGAGAAATGCTATTTTAACTGACAAAATTTGAGCAAAATATGTCTTATAGTTCTTGAGAAATCGAATTTTGCAAAAGTCTTTTTTTTTTTTTAAAATTTGATTTCTCAGGAATGATTTTACCGATTTTGTATTTTACCATTTAAACTTGTATTCTTTCAAATTATACAAAAAATTTTTATACCTTACAATTCCAAAATTTTCTGACCATTATTAAATAAAATAATATTTATTTAAAGTTATATTTTGCATAGAATTATCTTTGGACAAGCAAATGTTACAATTTAGTGCGAAAATGTTTAAATTCACTTAAAAAGTTTTTGAAATATAGTAAAATACACAAAAAATAACATTAAGGGGTCCAAACTTAGGACCGCTTTCTTGACCAAACTATTGGGACTATAATTCTGGGACAGAAATCCGAATCCCTCGAAAAAGAGGTATGTTTATTCATAGAAAGTAGGTTTTGTGTCTGATTTCTTAACTTAAAATATCGTCTGCACTAATTATTTAGCATATTTGAGGTCATCCTCTCAAACCATTAAGATTGAGTCCTAAAACGTGAAGACCTGATCATTAGATTAAAAGCTATTCAGGATGGTCCTTTTTTTTTAGCACAGTACAAACTTAACTTCATGTATTTGTCGATGAAAAATTTGCACAATACAACCTAAATTTATTATTTAATGAAATACAATTTATTATTTCAGATATGACTATGAAAATTGTGAATCTGACCCTTGTAACAAAATGATGGCTGAACTTGAAGCAGCTATTGGTAATAAGTCATTGGTTAATAAATCATTCTCATCGGGTGATAAATCATATGTAGTTTCAAACATGGATAACTTTGAATATGTTGATCCAGTGGATCAAAGCATAGCAACAAAACAAGTAATTATTATTTCAGTATATAATGTGATGGTCTTGTCATTTTAATTTATTGTTAATGAAAAATGTGCTTGAAAAAACTTAACTAATCTTACAATTTTAACTGAGTAAAAATAAAATACTCTAACGATAATCAGTTGTACATTCTATATCTCAATTTTTTTTTAAAAGAAAAAAAAGTATGCGCAAATAGAGTGTGATTTAGTTGTTTTTAAACATAATAAAAAGCTTGTTTCACTAACTTATTCAGCTGATTGACAGCTTTAATGGTTCCCCTTGAGAGAGTAAATTGATTCTACTCATGTTACCTATAGAAAGTTATATGACCACATTTTCTAAAGGTTTTAAATGACTAATAAATATTTTAATTTCATTTTATACAGTGAAATGTGTTTTACTAAATTTTTAGTCTGCAAGAATTTTTATTTAAAATTATTTTAAGTTTGGTACCTTGGTTCAATTGAACACATTTCAATACACAAATAAATAAAAAATTAATTAGTTACATAATAAAAAGGTGAATTGTATTTATATANATTAAAAAAATAAATTATATGTTAGGTATTGCCATTTAATGTTTCGAAAATACAGTCAAACACGGTTTATAGTGAACTCCCGGGTATAGTGAACGCAAAGTTCGGTCCCGTGCCTTGCTATACACGTATAATGTTATTTTTTGTGGATGTAGTGCACCAAAAAAACTGAGGAAGTTGGATATAATGAACTTTTTCCTGTCTCCGACTGATTTATTTTGAAATTTCAACTTCAAAATAAATACATATACCGATTTTTAAAACCATCTATAGAGGGGAATGTAGCAATTAGCATTTTTTCTTGTTTGCTTCTTTTGTCTCACTTTCCCATCCCTAAACAAACCAAGCTGATGTTTCCAACCCAGGGAGATGATGCACCTGCAAGGTGTCAGTGGGATCAATATGCATTTTCTGTCAGAGGGAATGAGTAATTATTCATTATTGGTCAAAAGGTTGAACACTAATGTGTGTTTATAAGGCCCTCATTTCAACTCCTTTTTGCTCTCAGTTTAGTTAAAAGAAAGCCTGCAAGCAAGTGTCTCAAATTTAACTATTGCGAGCAGTAAACGTTCTCCATTGATGATGAAATGGGCATAATCAGAAAAATTGAAAATGGATGCAATCCAGCTGATATTTGCAGGGAATAAAAACCAACCAAATCTGCAGTTTGTAACGTATGGAAAAATAGGTAATTAATAATTTCTGCTCATGAAAAAAATTTAGATGGCAGAAAAAAGTTGAGAAAAGCATATCACAAGGATGTTTGAGAAGCATTACAGAAGTGGTTAGCATTCGAAAAAGCCGCAATCTTCTAGTATCTGAACAAATGTTGATGAATTTGGAAAACAATTTTATGAGACTACTTTTATGTGCTCGAATGGCAGGTTAGACAGGTTTAAAAAGCGGAATAACAGAAATTCAAAATTGTCTGAGAGTCGGGAAGTGTTTCCATATCTGATGTAGAGGATTGCTCATCAGCTAAAGATTACTAATTTTTTTTTTGTATGCAAGACAAGTAATGAAAAAAAATTTTTTTTTGTTACTACATAATATTTTTCAGTCATTTATTTGAATAATGGATATAGTGAACTCCCGGTTATAGTGAACAAAATTTCGTTCCCTTGAAGGTTCACTATAACGGGGTTTGATTGTAATATTATTAAAATATAATATAACATATTATGTTATTAAAAGTTGGATAATCATTATTGAACACTATGTAAGCAAAAGTAGAATTAAAATAATAAAAAAACAGTTTCTTCATCAGATAAAATTTGAAAAATATTGTAATTAGAGTGCTCACCAAGAACTGTTCTGATTTCCTGCTGTATCAGTACAAGCCTGTAAAATGGTCCACATTGTGATATGAAACAATACTTGTCTAAATACCTAATAACATCACCTATCTCTTTAAAATAGTGTTGAAATGAAGTTCAGGCAGATTTAGTGTGCAAAATAAAAAACGGACCACCTTGAATAACTTTTGATCTAATGATAGGATCTTCATGTTCTAAGAATCAAACTTTATGGTTTGACGGGGTGACTTCAAATATACTAATAAATTAATGCAAACAATATTTTAAGTTATGAAATTTGACATAAAACGTACTTTCCCAGAATAAACTTCTTTTTTGTTAGCAGTTTCGGATTTTTGACACCCAAATTATTGGGGGTAGCCGCGACTTGGAAAATATAGTTCCAATAGTTTGGTCAGGAGAGCGGTCCAAAGTTTGAACCCCTTAATGTTAATTTTACTTTTTGCACCATACTCACTCTCCATATCTTGAGAACTTTCTAAGCGAATTGAGAATTTTTTACACTAAATTATATAATCCAAAGATAATTCCATGCAAAATTAACTTTTTGTAAATAATTATTATTTTATATAATAATGGTTGAAAATGTTTGAATTATGAAGTAAAAAAAATTTTATATCATTTTGAAAAATGCAATTTTAACTGACAAAATACAAAATTTGAGCAAAATATGTCGGATAGTTCTTGAGAAATCAAATTTTGAATTTGAATCAAATTCATCGATTAAATTGTGCTTTAAATATATATTGCACAATACAACCTAAATTTATTATTTAATGAAATACAATTTATTATTTCAGATATGACTATGAAAATTGTGAATCTGACCCTTGTAACAAAATGATGGCTGAACTTGAAGCAGCTATTGGTAATAAGTCATTGGTTAATAAGTCATTCTCATCTGGTGATAAATCATATGTAGTTTCAAACATGGATAACTTTGAATATGTTGATCCAGTGGATCAAAGCATAGCAACAAAACAAGTAATTATTATTTCAGTATATAATGTGATGGTGTTGTCATTTTAACTTATTGTTTATGAAAAATGTGCTTGAAAAAACTTAACTAATCTTACAATTTTAACTGAGTAAAAATAAAATAACACTCTAAAGATAATCAGTTTTACATTCTATATCATCTGAAATTTTTTTTTAAAGAAAAAAAGTCTGCGCAAGTAGTGTGTGATTTAGTTGTTTTTAAACATAATAAAAAGCTTGTTTCACTAACTTATTCAATTGATTGACAGCTTTAATGGTTCCCCTTGAGAGAGTAAATTGATTCTACTCATGTTACCTATAGAAAGTTATATGACCGCAATTTCTAAAGGTTTTAAATAACTAATAAATATTTTAATTTCATTTTATACAGTGAAATGTGTTTTACTAAATTTTTAGGCTGCAAGAATTTTTAAGACTGTAAACTTGGAAAAGGTTGAACACATTTCAATACACACACACACAAAAAAAAAACATTTATTAGTTACCTAATAAAAAGGTGAACTGTATTTATATATTTCTTTGAAAATAACATAGAGGAAATATCCTTTTTCTGTCTGATGGGGTTCTTTTACAGTTAAGTCAATACAAGATTATTAAGATGAATATTAACTTGAACATACAATTATTAGTTATTTGCTAAATGTGTTACATCTGTAATTGCCAGTTTTTAATTTAAAAAGAAAAAAATGTTTTAAACTTATAATCTGAATAAAACAAAAGTGCTTAACTCTTTTTAAACTAAATTATATGCATTTATGCTTGTAACAATAGAAATCTCTAACTAATAAACCTTTAACTAATAACTAGCCTGTTTTGCTCAAACAGATAAGATATTTATGTTCGGAAAAAAACGAACAAAGAAACTTGTCTTCATTTCTAATAACTGAGTTATTTTTTGTTTCTATAGTTAAAATTCTTTTAATTTTTTAAGGGTATACGTATTCTGTTTGAAGATGGTTCTAGAATTGTACTTAGATTGAGTGGAACTGGAAGTAGCGGAGCAACTGTTCGTCTGTATATCGATAGTTATGAAAATAATCCAGATAAAGTAAAACAACCTGCTCAGGTAAATTTTAGAAGTTTTAAATAAATTTTCATTTTAAAAACATGTGCTAACCAAAAGTTTAACTCTAATATTGCAGAAACCCAGTGATTATATAATTCACAGTAATTCTATTAATAAATACAAAAATATATTCAAATCTTCCATTATGACGTATTATGTGGCTCAGGGTATAAAGCGATCGTTGGCCTTGAAATGAGGCATGGGTGCCTCTCAAATCTGGAAAAAAATTCCCTGTGTTGTCCTGTACATTTACACAATATAATAAGAGGAAACAACAATTACTCTGTGTGAGCTATATTGGGCTAACTGTATTTATTAGTTTTAAATGCTGGAAAAACAGCTGAAAATACTTAAATAATGCTGTAGTAAATAAAATAGTTTAGTATAATTGAAATATCATGGTTAAATATCCCATAGATTACGCTTTGAGTGGTCACCATTTTTTTAAAAGACAAAAATAAGAGACAAAATTTCCTGTATTTCCCCAGTTTTTAAAGAAAAATCAAAATTCCCTGTTATTTTAGGTGATTTTTAAATTCCCTGTGGAATGGCAACCCTGTGAGGTGACTCTGGTTCAAATCTCAGCAATGGTTGGGCAATAAAATTTCTCTCCCCTACTTGCACAGACTATAGTGCTGTGGTAAAATATCCTCAATGTTTAATGGATCATTAGTTACCTTTGGGCTAACCATGGGCACAAATCCCCATTCCTCCCCATGTAACACAAATGCAGGCTAGTTTGTCCCAATGCTTGATCCAGGAATTCTCAAAATTATAAGGCTACACAACCGAATATTATTGGAAACTAAAAAATGGGTTAGCTGTTTGATGGCGATATGTAATGTATTACATGTAATAGACATTTTTTAAAAAAAAAAATTTGTATGACTGAATAGTCATTTCGAAAATCACACAATGTTAAAAAAATAATATGGCGTTGAAAAGTTAAAACTCTATGTAATATGCTTATATTTAAATGATTATTTTTATAAAGTAATTCATTTAATATTAAATGTTGTGCTTTTTTCACAGGAAATCTTAAAACCTTTAATTGACATTGCCCTTAATATAACCAAAATGAAGGACTACACAGGAAGAGACAAGCCTACTGTAATCACATAAATGTGTTACTCTGACAAGATCTGTACTTTTTTACCGGTGAAGTTTCAAATTCTTGATGGAATGTCTAGTCTTTTGAGTGAATGAATGAAATGCCAAACTCAGTGTAGGGTTGTTAACATGACTTTTTCCATAAAATTCTATGCCAATTTCCGTTTTCAATTGAAGAATTCCAATATGGAGCCATATGTGTTTTATTGTTGATTGTAAAATGCTTTATAAATACTTAATAAACAGTTTTATATTTTATGCATTTTCTATTTAATTTATAATTCTAAATATGACTTAGGTAAAATTTAATTAACTCATTGTGATGATAGATAATTTATTTCTTCTATGATGGCAAAGCATAGTCCAAAACCTTGTTTTAAATTTATATGATATGAATTGGTAGTATATCTCATAATATTGGAACCGCACAATGTGTTATTTTTAAAGTTATTACTTTTGTCATGATAAAGGGAATACAAAATTCAGTTTAAAACATTTTCTTATAGAACTCAATGTAATGTAAGCTTACTACATTTGTTTGTTTATGGTATGGAAAGGTTGTGATACGAAGTATTTTTAGTAATTTTACTTGCTAATAGTTTAACAATATCATACTTCAAAAAGAAAATTTTTTGAGGAATCCTCAAAAAGAAAATTTTTTGAGGAATCCTTAGTCCCAAGTATATGGGATAATCATCACTTAACTATAATAAAAATGAAGAATTATATAATATATCAAATATTCAATTGTGCAATAAAATATATCGTAACTAAAAAGAATGTTGTATCAGGCAGTGAATGAGTCAATAAAAAGGAAAATATTCTTAGTGATAACTCAAATTTGGGATAAGCATTTTTAAGATTTTAATTAAAAATTGTGTTATCTCAACTAAGAAGTTTAAACTATTTTTTAAAAATACCTCATACTCCAGTAATTTTAGGTATGATTGATATTATTTTAACCAACCAGTAAATCAACTTAAATACAGTGAAACCTCCTTTAAGCGGACATTCATGGGACCAAAAAATTTGTCAGTTTACGGGAAGGGTACCCTAATAACGAAATTTAACACCGTAAATTGTTTTTAGAATACTACGGAGTTGAAA